ATTTCCATTGATTCTGACATCTGTACTACTTTTGGCCATAAAACAATTCAAACTCCATACAGGATCGTGTTGGGTTGAAATGTTTTACTGAATAATAATTAGTAAATTCAATTTCAATTCAATTATAATTCAATTTCAATTCAATATATTTTTGTGTAGCCCTAAATCACAATAGTAGTTATCACGGAGGACTTGACAAAATTGTTAAATTCGCCAACACAGATCAGAGAATCAAACAATTCAAACACAACAAGTGCAAAACACATAGAGCCATTGATCCATAAGGGGCAGATGACCAATGTCCATAAATGTAGATAAAATCCGTAAGTGTGCGTAGATTGCAGACCTCCACCAAGAGGCAGAGTTCCATTCTTTAATCTACAGCTCTTCCGGGTCGAGCTTCCTCTGGGACCAACGGAGCGTGCAATGGGCAATAGACACACTCTCCCCTGCGCTTTGTTTTGAATTTTTCTCATGATGTAACATGTGCATATAGTTATAAACAAGTAGAGGAATGAATTGTTTCTCTTTTTGCTTTCAGTTTCTGCTATATATACAATTTCTCTGCACAAAAAAGGAGGAAAAACAGTTTAATAATCCATAGAAAGTTCCTGCATCCACACCAGTGAGTAAACTATGAGTAAGCCTATCTCGACTCAACCACGTTCACAAAGCAGGGTACAGCCTAGAACTTGAGAAAAACACAAAAGTAATGTTCTTTTCTGGAAATGTAATAACCTCAAAGTCCTCAACGTATATAAATGAATCGCCAAAATGGACTTTCAAAGCTCAATAATTCAATAATCATGACATATACTGTACACTTGTACTGTACACAAAATCCTGGTCTCGAACCACGACAAAACAGAGAAAAAGCAATGGACCAACAATAAGCGGAGAGGAGCAAAGGGTTTAAATCCACAAACGGAAACACATCAGGGCAGGACTGGCAACACACTGAACAGACATGAACGAACGCGGACAAGAACCAACATATGGAAACAAACCCAAGGTAAAAGCAATACAAAAAGTCCACACTAAGATCCAGATCACTTCCAAAATGTATTCACACGTTCAATTCCTGAAAATCTTTGTCTGCTATTATGCAGACAAACATACAAACTTACAAACGCTGCCGATCGCCGAGCCTCTGCAGAGTGGTGGTAATAAAATCGGAGGCGGAGGTAATAAAAACATCCAGCAGGACTAAGTGAAAATCTGCAGCTCAGGAGGTTTCGCGATGAAGAGCCGCGGACAGCAGAAGAGAATCAAATGTTCAATTTCCGAATCCCATCAGAAAGAATTAGATCATTATGGTGATTAGCTATGAACAAAATCACAGTATTATATATGCTTAAATACCTGCAACTTTGACAATACAAGCTTTAGAGAATTAGGGTTCAAGGGGTTAAAAAAGGTGGTTTTCTTTATTTTGTGTTGACAAAAAAATGCACAGCCAGCAACAGCAGCACATTCTCTTTACCATCGCCAACACTATTTGGACGATTTAATGCCAGATACCTACAGTAGATTTGGTGAATTAGAGTTTGTTTACAAATCTCTTAGCTGCAATACTGCACTTATCCTTGGAATAATATGAGAGACTACAGGAGTTGGGCCAAATGCAAAAGATTTCAGTCCGAGGAACAGCTGAGAAAGCAAACAACAAGATAAAGTGTGAAACCACAAATGAGGTTTTTAGACTTCATAGACTTTCAGTTTTACTAATGGAATGTGTTAGAGTTACTGTAGTAGGGCGAGTTTGGGTTTAAACTGTTAAAGCTATAATTACTTAATGTTTACACTACTACACTCATTAGATAGATCGAAATGAACAAATGCAAATGGAGGACATCGAAAAAGCTGAGGTACGTAACTTTTTTAAGTGTCATAGGGGTGTCACGATTCCAAAAATGTGTCGATTCGATTTGATTTTTGATTTTTTTTTTTCTTTAGCTGTCAAACAAGGAGGCGCTTCGAAACCATAGACTGTCATTGAGTTTACATTCAAACTGGGCGCTACGCATGGTCCGGTGAGAACGGGCGTAAACGTTCTGAACCAATGTGAAGCTGGGAAACCCCACGTGAACAGAGTTTACATTTGCGAGCCGCCACAGAAGCCGGTGCTCTGTCACCCGAGAGCGAATCGAGCACTAATACATTCACGGGTCTTACCGGCTGCCCGCTCGGTCTTTGATTTGCAGGTACAGATTTTAAATAATAGCGCTTATTGCATCTACAGTGATTGTCAATCGTATCTTTGATTTTGATGCTCGATTAATAATTTAAATTAATTAGTTTGTTCCAACACAAGAGTCTTGTAAAAGTAAAATGTTGTGATGCTGGCTTCATACTAAAAACCTGCTATACTTGTAATGAACAATCCCTGTGAGTCACTTTTAGACTCATTGATCTAACAATGTGACAGATATAGGCCAAATACTGTATATGTACATGCATGTAAAAAGTAATGTATGGTGATAGAACCAAGGACCTGCCTAAATAGATTTGAATACATACTGCTGTTAGTGCCCAGAGTCACGACTAAACATGGGGAGGCTGCTTTTCAGATTCATGCTGCTAAAATCTGGAACAGTCTTCCTGAAGATGTGAGACAGGCCTCCTCTCTGACAATGTTTAAAACCAGGTTAAAAACGGTTCTGTTTAGCTGTGCATACAACTGAGGGATTTTATATTTTTATCTTTCTTTTTAATGTACTGTGATTATTTATGATTTTAATGCTATCTTACGTTGTTCAGCGCTTTGAGTTGCCTTGTGTATGAATTGTGCTATACAAATAAAAAGGTAAACTCTTGTTGCCAGATACATACAGTTCACTGCAAACAAATATTAAATATGATGTAATAATTGCTTGAATTGAGTGGTTTTTATCTTAATTTGGGTACATTCTGACTGTCTTAAAACAACAATTGGCCAATGGGACAACGCTATTTAGTCTTCTTTCAAAAACTGTTGCTTTAAAACAATACCATTTTGCTTGTTCCATTTGCAAATCTTGTTTAAAGCAGTCAAAATGTGCTCAAATTATGATATATTTTGCCAAGTTTGAGCATTTTTTGACTTACTTTTTATCACTTGAATGGCTGTATTTGTACATCTATTTATGCAAATACAACTTATGCCCATATTGTTGGCTTGGCTGCGACTGACTTCAGTCTCAGACCTTATGTCAAATGGAAACAGAAAGTCTCCTTTGACCGCTGAAGTGCTGCTGACACCTCTCACACAGACCCCCAGTATGTAAACAACAGCCTGAACAAAAACGCCACTGAAAGGAGGTCAGAGCCAAACGTGTGAAAACAGTTGTAGTCATTGGAGCATTAGTAGTAGTAGCAGTCATTGAAGTAGTAGTAGTAGTAGAAGCAGTAGTAGTAGTAGCAGTCATTGGAGTAGTAGTAGTAGTAGCAGTCATTGGAGTAGTAGTAGTAGTAGAAGCAGTAGTAGTAATTGGAGCAGTAGTAGTAGTAGCAGTCATTGGAGTAGTAGTAGTAGTAGAAGCAGTAGTAATAGTAGCAGTCATTGGAGTAGTAGTAGTAGTAGCAGTCATTGGAGTAGTAGTAGTAGTAGAAGCAGTAGTAGTAGTCATCGCAGTAGAAGTAGTAGTAGTAGTCATCGCAGTAGAAGTAGTGGTAGTCATTGGAGTATTATTAGTAGTAGGAGTAGTCATCGCAGTAGTAAAAGTAGCAGTAGTCTTTACAGTAGTCATCGCAGTAGTAGTAGTAGTCATTGGAATAGTAGTAGTGCAGTAGTCATCGCAGTAGTAGTAGTAACAGTAGTATCTACAGTCGTCGTAGTAGCAGTACTCATCGCAGTAGTCGTAGTAGCAGTAGTATCTACAGTCGTCGTAGAAGCAGTACTCATCGCAGTAGTCGTAGTAGTAGTAGTAAATGTTGCTTGCTATAAATACAACGTACAGACATAGCATTTCTAGCAGTTGTAAAAGTAGCAGTAGCAATGTCAGTATTGGTTTTAGAAGGCCAATCTAAGAAGTAGGGGTGTGTTCTGCAGTAATTGTTGTAATAGCAGTAGTTATTCCAATATTCGATCGCAGTAGTGGCAGTAATAGTCTGTTTTTAAGACAAAGTGGCCATAATGCAAAGCAAAGGACTGCCCATTACTGTTGATGTTACTTCAGAGTATATCAACCATGTTTCTTCAACATATGATATCATTTAACTGACAAACACGTTATACTTTGATGAAGACTGAGTGTCATAGATTCCTGATTTGATTTACATTAGGTTAATAAATTATCAGACCACTATGCTACATACAATACCCTGGCAGGCTCAACATGGTCAACTCAAGAAAAGTGGCTAAAAAAATATGCCTTTTTTCTGCATAAAAAAACAATAAATGTGAATAGAGAGAGTTGGGTCAGGGCAGGCTACCTACGTAAATAGTTAAATATGTAACTCATTTTCTGTGTCCTTAGGCAAGACTCTTCACCCACATTGCCTAGATCCAGTGTGAATGTGGGAGGAGGTGATGGCACATACTGGTTGCCTCGCTTCTGTCAGTGTGCCCCAGGGCAGCCGTGGCTACAGTAGAAGTTTATCACCATCGTGTCTGTAGTGAATGAATAATGAAATGTGAATTGACTTTGAGTGTCCAAAAAGCGTTATATAAAACAGATGCATTATTATGTCGTTTGATTTACGCTATTTTCCCATATGCCAAATTCCAAAACTTGGAATTTCAATTGGAAATATAGTCAATCCATCACATTTTTTGCCGTACAGGGACTCATCAACTGATTAATCTGTCAAACGGCTACTGCCTTATAATATGAAAAATGTAGTTTGATACCAGGATATTACTTATCTCTATCAACGTTTCGGATTCCTTGAAAGCAGGGATACTCAGGACCTACAATACATTGACATCCAAAGCATCCGTCAAACTAAAGAACCACAGTCCTCAGGGTCGAGACATATTAATAACATAAGCCTAAATAATCTTCATCATACCCTTCAGCCTATCGATCCACTTCCACTTCCATCACATCGTTCAACACGGATCGACCGCAACACTCGAAAATCGCGCTAAGAGAGTGCACATGTATACCCAGCGCATAGATAGACCTTTCGTCTTGTTTGATTTTTTTTGGGAGTGAGTTTTGCCCTTTGGAGATGATGTGTTGTGAGTGACAGGGTGTTTAAGGCGGGATGATGGATGGAGCGGAGGTGCAGACAGATGCTTTGATGCCAGACAAACCACCGCTGGCACTGGAGCAAAACGCCCACCTTAAAAAAATTACCCAACAGAGCGCAACTTCAAACATGGGAGTAAATATGAATCTAATATGGATCAGTGAAACCTGACAGATTCCTGCAGACGACCATGAAAAATGTGTAAGATTGCAGAATAGATATTAAAACCAAAAACAACACCAGTGGCGTACTGCATCCATTAATCATTTTTATTGGTAAAAAAAGTAAGTAGACTATGATTACTTTAAGCCTATCTCTACTCAATTCTAAGCACATACACAGAGCAGGGTATAGCCTAGAACTTGAATAATTATCCCAATAGGAGGGAAAACAAAAGAGTTCAAGTAAAGTCCTCATAAGGAAGCCACAACTTATAATTGAATCGCTAAAACTTACTTTCGGAGTTGAAAATACGTGGCATATATTGTATGTGTTTTGCATACATGGGTCAAATTTGGACTAAAGATTTGAAAGTTTCAGTGAATTTACGATACACCTGTAGACTACAAGTTACACAAATCCTGAAAGGTATAAAGGATTTTCCCAAATTTTAGGAAAGAACCGCCCTCTCCTCTTTTTGAACAAACTGTGGTCTTATTTGATGAGCACAAATCACCAGAATGAATGACAATTAGGAGGACCAATAGTTTTGATGATCCACCTGGATGTAGAAATTCGTCCAATACCTGCTAGTGACAGCAAGGAACAGGAAAGAACAAAATAACATATCTATATTTAGAGATCACATTAAAAGCAGAGGGATACATTAGATTTCCCTGGATCAGAAGAATGAAACAGAAGTCCATTTCACATCTGACGCAAACAGACAGCTCTCAGCTATGGGTCAGCACTCTCTATATGATGCAATCTATAAATATATATATATATATATATATATATATATATATATATATATATATATATATATATATATATATATATATATATGTCACTAATGGAGTAACAGGGTGACTTTTTCTTTCTGTATTAAATCCATATCATGTGAAAAGTCTGTATAAGGCTTCAGTCAGCCTCACACCCCAAGCAGTGACCCTAGTGACCCCCTCCCATCTCCACCACGTGTGTCTCTCTATCCTCCACACTGCTCTTACCTTATTGGAGTACGGTGGTCTCGCCAGGTTGACGCCGTCCCTGATGAGCTTATCCCTAATCATGATTTTGAGTTTGAGTTTGGGGTAGACCGTCATGTCCCTACGGTTCCCCAGCGTGAGGTTCCTCTGCGCGCCCACCGTGAACGCAGCACGCTCGTTCAGGGGCTCGGTCCACGACTTGGAGCTTCGGAGTTTGGAGTTTTCGTGCTGTCCAACCATGTGACTGGAGTATATTTCTGTAGCGGCGTGCGACATTGGCTCCAGGGTGAAGTACAGACCGCTGGCCGTCTCCCTCGCTTCATCCTTAAGCCTGCGTACCGCTTCGTGGATGCGCTGGCGGTGATGAGGCACGTACACCCCGATGGCATCCAGGTCCGGGTCCCCTATCTGCTTGCACACCTCCAAGTCATCGTACCCGTTGTCCACGAACGCCTCGACATACTGGGCGAGCTGGAGCGTTTTGAGCCACTCGAAGACTATGACAGGTCCGTTGGTCGTCATTGTTTTTTGGGCTCCCAACTTATGCCAGGCACAAAAGACGCGCACAACCAAGCGACATTATAAAGTCATATACGTGCCAGCGCCATGTCGACAGGTAGAGCGCGTGCCGACGTCCATTCAAAGCTGTGCGTAAATCCGCTTTATTCCAAATCAAAGTACATTACATGCAACTGTTGTCACTCAAAATGTAATCCCAGATCTCCGAAGTATAAGATGACATGTAGGAATCCACTCTGCTCGTGATTCCAAAAGTATACTTCACGAGTCCCGGCGCGTCACCATCATTGCCAAAGCGCTCTTCACCATGACCACAGCAGCCAACGCGCTCCACAACCGCTTCTGTCCACGCCCCCCCTTCAACCCCATACAAAATATAGTAGTAGTTCCTCCTCTGTTAGTCCAGACCTGTCACTGTTGACCAGCTAAGGCGCGCGCTTCCTCCATATAACTTGTTCCAAAAGGCGAAAAAAGCGCATGTATATCAGCTTTCGTGCGTGAGAGCTCCCCACGCTGCTTTGTGGCACGCTGTTGTGAGCCTGCTTCCCTTCACCGCCACCACCACCGCGGCGAGCCTGCCTCTCTCTCGCTCTCTCTCTCTCTATCTCTATCTCTCTTGCTTCACACGCGCTCAACCTATTCAGCATTATCCAGCGCGTTTCTCTCTCTCTCTCTTTCTCTCTCTCTCTCACTCTCTCACCAGCGCCCCCTGTGTTGAAACGTAAGCATTGGGCTCATCCATGCGTGCCCGCTTGCGTCTCCATGCTCTCGATTCATGGAACAAGTCAAGTGGTTGCAATGTCACTCGAGAGAGAGAGACAGATAGGGAAAATGTGTTGGGGGGAAAAAAAACACACACACAACTGGATAAGTGTCCTTTCTGTCCAAATGGAAAGCAGAGTTGCAGATGATGCATGCTCTATGAAATGTGATCTGACATCTTGTTAGGGGCCAGTTTTGATACGATCACTATATCGTAGCGGGGCTGGAAGTCATTTGCCTCGGCCCATTATGACGCGCAGCGGGGCTAGAGGGGGTCGGCAGACGGAGAGAGTGGAGTGAATATCAAACAGACATTTTTTGAATGTGGAAAATGTGCCAGCGTGTTGTATTGTGTTCCAATCACTCAATAGCACCTTATGAGATTTACCTGTCGGACTGCTGACAGAGTAATTACAGTGAAATGCTCCTTTGTGCTGAATTCTAGGTAAACACTTAACAGGAGTGAAGGGAGAGCGCCAGTGGTAGTTATTAATATGCATGAACACTGGGGGAGAGTAAAAAATATTGTAAAAACAGTATTTATCAGAATTTGCATGTTCCCCGGGTGCGTGCCTTTCAACTAATCTATGCCAAGAATTCTAATTTGAAGATAAAAATTAGTAGCAGGCCACAACCTTAAAGCTGTATTCGTGCAGTAAGGATTATACTTATTGGGTCACACATCTGCATAAGCAAGAATCCTCTCCCATTTCTACAGTTATGAAAGCGGTTCTGACGAGAAGACCGCAAAAGCTCACTGCTCTCACTCGCAGTGGGTGGAGCAGTCAATCACACTCACTCGATCGCATCAAGCTTTCATATCATGCAGCCGCTTTCACTCGTGTAGCAACCCTCCTCCTCCCCATCACCGCCTCGTCACTCAGACCAGCTCTTTAACCCTTCTCCTTAACTTCATCTGTCATCGCTGTGTGGAGAGAATGGAAATTACTGGTACACCAAAGTACAGCAGTGGTGTCAAACTCTTTTTAGTTGCGGGCCAAGTTTAAAAACAAATTCATTTAATTCTACATGAGATTATTTTTTATAAGGTTTGGATTCAATCACAACTGGACCAAATATCAAAAAAAGATTTATTGTTAAATAGTAATAATATTATGTAAGAATAAATGTTTGCCTAACTTAAATTTTTGAAAAAAAATCAATTATATGGTGGTTTCCTGAGATAAGATAAGCTTTAAATGAAGTATAACATGCCATAGTATCCCATTTCCATCAATGCTGCAAGTTACTCTAATAAGGATCATTTCAGGAGCCACTAAAAATAGTCTTGTGGGTCAGATTAAGTTTGACATGCGTGATGTACAGCATACAATAAATGTCATTTTTGCATAATATCTGCATAGTCTGCTATTTTATGCAGCAACAGATTTCTAGGCCAATTAATAAATACAATTATAACAACCCCTTTAGTCTCTCCAGAGTGAATTGGCTCATAATAAATGCATCTGATAGCACAAGGATCTGCAAAAAGAATAAAGCTTGGATTGATTCCTTACTTATCTCCAGGCATGATTAACCTCATCCAATAATGGTGTATATATTATTTCTATAGAGATAAAATGCCCAAATGGATGTAACAGACTTCTGCTTCCAACACAGCACAATATAAGCATCACACCCTGCAGTCACAAAACTGCTTCACATCAATAACACCTCAATAAGCATCTCTTAATATAATGGAGCGCCTCCAGGTTTGAAGCATTGTCTGTATTTTCTTAGTAAAGGCTCCATTGTTGACATTTATGTAACAATATTGCAAATAAACTTTTTTTTGTTTTTAAATGGCCAGCGGATTCACCTGCTTCAGTTCAGTTAAATTAGATTTATTTTTGAGTAGCCCTTAATCACAACCGCAGACGTCTTAGAGGACTTTCCAGAGGGAGCGGGATGACCATGCCCGTAAGTATAAATATATGTATAAATGTCACGGCTCATAACGGTCTTGAGACCCTCCTGCATCGGCAAGGAATGACTCAAAACAAAACCAGTGGGTAAAAAGTGAGAAACCTCTGTGAGGCTCACATTGAGAGAGGGATCCGCTCCTACTGACAGACAGGCTGTAGATCCAGGAAGCAATCTTTGAAAGAAATGTTGAAAAAGAAAGTCCAAATGTCCTTCCAGATCATGGATAGTGATTAGATCCACAAACTCACCATATTATTCTTTTGTCTGAAAGTCCTTCCGGTTAACATTGTACATCTTTTTAATATTGTCATATCATTATGGTCTTTTGTAGAGTTATGAAACAACCAAAAGGACAACTGGAAAAGGGTGCACTTGTTTTGTGGTTTCTCATGTCCCAAGCTGAAGCCTGTTTGCTTTGATTGGTTCACTTAAAGTTCAACCACAAGGCCCTGTCCAGACGAAACAAAACTGAATATAGTTTTGAAACTGTATTGTGTTAAAACCAAACCAGCTCTCTAACTGTATCTGTACAAATCTGAAAAACAAATACAATTCACCTGAATTCTCATTGTCTGTGCTGCAGACTGATTGCAGAGCTGCAGCAATGATATCTTCGCGTTGAAAAAGCAGCCATCCAACTCATCCACTCTGGGACCATGTTTGGAGAACATGTTTACAGGATGCAGATCCTGAATGTTATGTTTTAATACATACTTTAGCAGATACAACTGAATTTGTCGGCATGACTTTAGACACTTACCGCAGTTACCAGGAATAAAAAATATACTCCCCCCAGCCCTAGTTTAAATTATAGACTCTTGGGATGTTGCTTTGTCATGAATGTGAGAACCTATTTTAAGAGTTATACATATTTTAAAATGCCATAATGTTTATTCTTATATTCCTAGTTTTAAATGCAAACAAACTTCAACTGTGTGCCAAAGAGAAAGTGGTCAGTGAGGAGGATGAGCGGTTGGACTCTCACATGTTTACTGACAGCACACATTCTCTATGCTAATGCATGTTCTGACAGGCGAGACGTGGGGTAAACACGAGCTGCGACGTGATTGGCCAGAATCTCTCCGTCGGCTTGGCTTTAGCAGCGTCTGGGTTGGACCTCTCAAGACCTCAATTGAAAAGAGCTTTGAAGCAGAGAATGGCTTCTGTCCACCTGGAGGCGCAGCACCCTGAAGGTCACGGCCAGGGGGGTGCGGGGGTCAGCGATTGGACGGCTGGCTATCTGTCAGACACTGATAGATATGTAGACCCCAGGAAAAGGGTAATGTAAATGGAAGGTTTAGGAGTTTAGAACAAAGCAGGGTCATTACTGTATAAATCACATAGGTTGGAATTGCTAATATGGAATTGGGCAGACAACAAAAGATAAGTGAACAATAACTCAATACTAAAATGAAATAAAATCTCTAACTTTAGCATAATAAAGAATCTCTAGCTTTAGCGTAATCTCGGCTCTTTTGCAATATTGTGATGTCCTTGTGATGAACGCAACCTAAAATGTAATTGCCTTAAACGTCAAAACATATCATTTCAATCAATCAATAAATCAATCTTGGCATATGGCAACTGTCCTCATTGCTCATGAATCAAAAACCATGTTCAAGCAACAGAATGACACATTTTGAAGGTGGAATATTAAACACGTTTGGAACATTCTCCATGAATATAAATTGACTATATGCCCAACTGTAGAAGATTACAGCCAAAAGGAAAACCATTTTAAAAGCGAGCAAAGGGAATGCAAGCCCGCTCACAAATGACAAATGTTTTTTTTAGCTTCTTTCTCTATTGCCGATATGTGGGACGGCTTTTGCTTTCTTTCTTTATTTATTCATTGTCTCAACTAGACTTTATAGACCAGCCCTTCTTTGTTTATCATCTTGGGATGCAATTAGGTGCAAAAATATGGACCAGTTATTTTGGCTAGATTTAAAAATGCACCAGTTCTCCCAATGGGGGTGCAGCGTATGGGCAATGCTATATCACAATACAAGGGCGTTGCTAGTCTGTTCTTTTGACTATTTAATTATAAATGTCTGGCCAGTGTCCAGGCCCCAGGAGAGCAGAGGTGAAGTGCACATCTTGGCCAGCTGCTGTTTGGCTTGATGCTGCTAATCACCCCAAATATCCCCAACTCCTGTGGGATGAGGCCGAGTGAGTGAGGGCTGCATGTCTAAGCATATCATCCAAAGACACCTGTCGTTTCCCGCTTTGTGTCTGTCAGTGAAGGCAACCGGCTGGTGGTCCAGGTTACTGCTCCCAGGGGTCCAATAAGTGACGTGCCAATCACTCAGACA